CAGGTGGCTCCGGGCCCGGCGCATGTGGCGCCACATCGCGCGGCACGAGCTGGCGCAGTACGACTGGTTCGTGGCGGTGGACGACGGCGGGTTCGTCGTCCCAGAGAATCTGCGGCGCCTGATCGTCGCCTTCGTTGGGCCAGGCGGCGGGCGTAGAAGCGATCGGAAGCAAGAATCGTTGTCCTTCTCTTCCTCCTCTTCTTCCTCCTGCTCACCTCCTCCCCCTCCTCCTCTTCCTCCTACTTCTCCTCCTCCTCCTCCTCCTTCTCCTCCTCCTCCTCCTCCTCCTCCTCCTCCTCCCCCTCCCCCTCCTCCTCTTCCTCCTCCTCCTCCTCATCATCATCATCAACAGAATCATCATGATCATGATCATCATCAGCATCATCATCATCATCATCAGCATCATCATCATCCACTTCTTCCCCATCCTCCTCCAGGAGCACGAGGACAGGACCAAGAGCGGGGCGCGGGGGGGTCCTCATCCCCCCTCCTCTCCTCATCATCATCATCATCCTTTTCTTCCCCTTCCTTTTCCAGGAACACGAGGACAGGAACAACAGCGGCGCGCGGGGGGGTCCTCATCCCCCCTCCCATCCTCCTCCTCCTCCTCCTCCTCCTCCTCCTCCTCCTCATCATCATCATCATCATCATCTTCTTCCCCTTCCTCCTCCAGGAACACGAGGACAGGAACAAGAGCGGCGCGCGGGGGGGTCCTCATCCCCCCTCCCCTCCTCCTCCTCCTCCTCACCATCATCATCACCATATGTTTCCTCTTTCTCCTCCAGGAGCACGAGGACAGGAACAAGAGCGGCGCGCGGGGAGTCGTTCTGATACGATAGCTGTGGGTGTCAAGACACAAACCACATGGGACGAGGGACTGACACAGAATGCAGCAGATAGCACAAAACTTAATGGAATGCACGGGCGTAACAATCAATACGACGGGGAATAGTTGATCAAGTATTTAGATGGCGAGATATCCAGGAAAACCAATTTCTAAGGCGCGTCCTCCTGCTTATTCTTCTTTTCTTCCTTCTCCTCCTCCTCCTCCTCCACCTCCTCCTCCGCCTCCTCCACCTCCTCATCATCCTCGTCCTCCCTCTCTTCCTTTCCCTCTCCTCCTCATCCTCGTTGTCCTCCCTCTCCTCCTCCCCATCTTCATTATCCTCCACCTCCTCCTCCATCTCCTCCTCTCATCGACGCCATTGGTGGAGGGGTTTGCAGGACAGGTCAAGGGTTGGGAGCTGAAAGGTCCAGGGGAGGGGAGTACTCGGGAGGCAAGTCAAGTATTGGGAGACAGGTCAAGGGTTGGGAGGCAGAGAGGGAGGAGCACGGGCAGGGAGGGACGGGCGCGTGGAAACAGAGTAGACAGAGGGGGGGAGTGAGGCAAGGAGGAGGAAGGCAAGAGGAGGAGCAGGAGGAGGAGGAGGAGGAGGCGAATGAGGAAGGGAGGAAGGAAGATGAGGAGGACCACGGTCCATCCAGAGCAAGATGCCGCGATGAGCCCGTCCGTCCCAGGCCCCCTGCTCACAAGTCGGCACACGTATACGCTGTCTGCGACTGCGGCGATAGGTGAGGGCCCTTGTGTGCTTGCGCGCTGTGGGTGCTCCGTGTGCCCTGGAAGTGTTCCTGCGGGGTGGCTGCGTGCAGCTGGTCACGGACGCTTGCTGCGGCGTTTCGGTCCCGCCGCCTGGTATCCTTCGCGTGGTGGCGAGATGCATGCCTCTGGCGATCCTAAGCCTCCCGGCAACTACGCGCTACCGTCGGGGCGCTGAAGAAGGAACCCTTCTCGTTGGGGAGGGGCTCGGTGTTCCTTGATTGTTTCACGGTTTGCCTCAGGGTGTCCTTAGGCTTTCGATGGGAAGGCGAAGCTGAACTTCTGGAGAAAAGGGGCCTCGCTCCTTGTTTTGGGGTTCCTTAGGTCAACGTCCCGACGGTATTGGCCCCAAAAGTTTTCAGGGTCAGCCAGCGTGGGCCCCCAACCGGCGTGTTCCTAGCAGCTGATGCTGCGCAAGGCATGTTGTGCAATCGATGTGGTGCGATCAATGTTGTGCAAACTATGCTGCTCCATCTACGGTGCAATCCATGTGGTGCGCAACACACGCGATGCAATCGAGGTGGAGCAAGCTAGATGTGCTTATGGAGATCCATGTGGTGCAATATTTGGTGTGCGACCTGTGTGGTGCAATGTGTGGTGTGCGATCTGCGCTGGTCAATCTAAGCCGTGCAATCTATGTTGTGCAAGATCTGTTGTGCAACCTATGTTGTGCACAACGGCGTTTTGAAGATCGTCCGCCATCCAGGACTGACTGAACTAACCTCAGCGCCCCCCCCCCGCCGAGACCCTCGACCTCGCCCTTGCAAGCACTATGCTGACCGAAGTCACCTCCCTCCGCGAACCTTCTGATCACGCTTTGGTAATAGTTCCACGAGCGCCAAGACAGGGGCACTCAGAATGTCGCATGCCAAGATAAATACCTCAGCGCGCTCGTTTTCCGAGCGTGGTCGAGCAGGAAACCACTGCAGCTGGAGGGTTGAGCGAAGACCCCATCGATGCCATCCTGGATACGAGCGCTACCCTCCAAGAAGCAGCGACACAAGTCATGAGAGAATGTGAGCCAGCCAAGACAAGCACATGCTTCGAGAACGTTGGGTGCAGTTTGGCTGCATTGAGGGATTTCCGCGAAAATGATGCTTCCCGATTTCAACGTGCTTGTCGTGCATTTCCCCTGGCTATCACACATGATCGATCCTGAACTAGGGTAGTTTTGAGTGAGCAGCTATTTCACCAGAATCTGAGAGAGCTACGCTTGGAATATATTCAAGCCGAAATCCAGTCCGTCGATTCCATCGAGGTCTGCCCCCAAGTCAAGACAATGAAAACCGACAAGCTGCGCTCCTGCGAGTCTGCCTGGCGCCGCAAAAAGCGCAGGTTTCTCCTAGCCTCCCTCCTCGACCCCGCTGACCAGCAGCTCTGTGATCCTGGCGAGGCCGCGGTGGAGCTGGCCAGACACTGGGGAGAGGTGCACTCTGCCCAGGCAAGCTGTGCTGCTTCTTGCGCAGTCCCAGAACCTTTTGTGCAGCAAGCGCCACACGGTGTGGAATATCGTCTGGAGCTCGAGGATTTCAGCGCCAGTATGAGCGGACAGCACGACTCTGCCCTTCCGACGGGTTGCCCCATCCTGCCCGGCTCATAGGAGGCTACACCACTAGCAGTTCTCTATACAAGTTGTACTGTTATATCCTGGACCACGGGACCGCCGGTGCAAGATTCAGTTGAGCCCACATGATATGCATCCCCAAGGGTACCCAGGAGACCGATCACGGGCAAGTGATCAGGATCCCCGACTGCACTAGGCCCCCCACCTTCGGGAATTCCCACAACAAGCTAGCCGCTACAGCTATGGTTAAACCTCTCGCCTACATCGCCCAAGTGCTCTGCATCGAGAGTTAACGAGGATCCGGTAAGAACCGAAATGCGGCGATTGATATTTTTGAGCTGGGGGCCCAGTTGACTCACTACCCCGTGCAGCGTGACGAACGCCGCAGTGGGTTCTCTCCTGTTTCGACCTCCGCGCGGCCTCTCCCTCCCTCCTGCGTGATATGCTGCTCTGGGAGGAGGAGGAGGAGGAGGAGGAGGAGGAGGAGGAGGAGCAGGAGGAGCAGGAGGAGGGGCTGCCCGAGCTCTTTGTCCGCGGGGCCGATTGCTTCCTCCGCCCTTTCCGGTGCCAGGTCTCCCTTCCCGCGGGCCTCGGCACGCGGGGGCCACGGCGTCTCTCCGCGGCCTCGCGCAAGGCCGCTCTCCGTCGGGGCCCCGCGGGGCCCTCGCGGTCGACCCGACCCACAGGGCTCGTCTGCTCCGGGGCCCGTGGACTCCGCCGCCCTGCGCGCTGCCTTCGCCGACGACGTCGGCGCCGGGAGAGGCGGCGAGGGCATCCACCAGAAGAAAACACACATCCTCGGATGTCGCCTCACCTCCTGCGTTCCTGGAGACACCGTGCGGCGGCAGCGCTGCTTCAGAGGAGAGTGCCACTTCCGCGGAGGGGGGAGTGTGTGATATCGGGCAGTCTGATTCAGGACTGCACTCTCCGCACTCGGGAGCGTGCGGACGGTGACCGGCAACGTTCCCAGCACGCCGCGAGGCGCTCGCTCTCTCGGCTCGGGGAGCGCCGCGGCCACAGCGCGCAGGCCCCGCGCCCGCCCGCCGAAGGCCCCCTCCGCTCCCTCCAGGGAAGCACGCGGGGAGCCAGGAAGCCCACGGGGGCTGCCTGGCGCGGGAGCCTCGCCGCGGCCACGGCACGCGGGCCCCGCGCCCGCCGGCAGGAGGCCCCTCCGAGGCGTCCAGCTCCAGAGAGCGCTCGGGGAGCCGGGAGCCCCCGGGGACTGCTTGGTGCGGTAGGTCGGCCACGATGGCCAGGCACTGCTGCAGGGCACGGCAGGTCGGAGCGCTCGCGCTCAGAGAGATCCGTTCGGCCACCCGCTACAACATTCAGGAGGGAAAGAAACACACAGACACAAGTAATCGTCGATTCCCAGGAAAAGATGGGAAAAGATAGGAAGTGGGGGAGAAGACAAGAACCGAGAAAGTATGGGAAAAGATAGGGAATCCTTTGACTTGTGTGTATTTATTTGTGTGTCCCAGGGCCCCTTCAAACATGCTCTGCGTCAGTCTTCTCAGCCACGTTGGCCAGTGACATCTACCATCCATCGTCATGTTCAGAGGTGGAAGCACTGGGACGCAAATGCTGGCGGCAGTGCCCAAGAGTGCCCAGAAAACCACGACGCAGGCCGAGACCTTTGCGCAGTTTGCCGGTCTGCCATGCACAGGAAAACTATAGTCTCGAAAATTCTGGGTGAGATCTCTGGATTTACCTGGATTTACCCAGACTTATCTCGATTTACCCGGACTTACCCGCACGCGAGCTCGGAGCTAATTCCTACGACTCTGAATAATGTTCTTGCTTTCCCTGTCAGGTCTCGCCAACCTGGCAGGTGTATGTCGGCAGCTGTCCGTCGATATTAACAATCATCATCCTCCTCTTCCTCCTCCTCCTCCTCCCCATCATCATCATCATCATCATCATCATCATCATCATCATCATCATCATCATCATCATCATCATCATCATCAGTTTCCTCCTCATCCTCCTCTTCCTCCTCCTCGTATTACTCCTCTTCCCTCTCTTCCTTCTCCTCCTCCTCGTCTTCCTCTTCTTCCTCCTCTTCGTCCTTCTCGCCTTCATCATCATCATAATCATCACCACCGTCATCATCAGCAGCATTATCAGCATCATCCTCATCGTCATCATAATCATTATCAGTACAACCATCATCGTTATCGTCATCACACTCAGCATCATCATGATCATCAGCATCATCATCATGATCATCATCATCACCATCACCATCATCAGCAGCATCATCAGCTCCTTTTCCTTCCACATAATTCTATCCTGTCGCACCCCGAGACGTGTCATTAGGGCGGGCAGGGCGTTTCGCCCGAGGCCTCCTCACCATGTACGGTTCTCAAGCTTGACATGTGCAACCGCTTCACGTATGGAGGGCAGGTCGTGTTCAAAATGTGGATCTCGCTCCGGCGCTGCGCACACTCCTCTTTCACGGATGGAAGGGGGGCCGTTTTCAGAATGTGGTCTTCGTTTTAGCGCCGCGCACCTTCGTTTGAAAAGGGTGCAAGAGTTTCTCTGATGGAGGACGGTACCTTTCCAAACTGTGGCTCTCGCCTTAGCGCCGCCCGCTTCCATCTTAAGAGCTTACAGCTGTTTCAAGGATTCTCATGGTTGACTTCCCAGACGACGTTTTGGTACGATGCAGGACTGTCAGGGCGCAACTGCTACGTTGACTCGCGGTGTTGAAATCCCAAGAACGGCGTTCTGGCACGATTCAGGATCGCCAGCACGCAACAGTAACGTTGATTCGCGGCGTTGAAGCCCCAGGAACGGTGCTCTGGCACGGCACAGGGTTTTCAGACGGCTGTCTTCGAACGGGGAACTTCTCTCAGTGAACATGAATATTTGCAGGGACCTATGTAGAGGGAAATTGGGGGAGGGTTGATTGCAGCGTCTTTGATACGTCTTGAGCTTACATTGTCAGGCGATCGCAAACATGGATCAAGGGGGCGTGGATCAGCGACGGGTCCCGTTTTCATGGGAAATCGCTGATTTCCGCCGCCGAACCAGGCGGCACCGGCCGCACTTTGGGGAGGGCACCTCCCCCGATCCATGGATTTGGCGACCGCGCGCCAAATCCATGGATCGCTAATCCATGTTGTGCGCCCTCGACTATGCTTGGACGCATAGGACATGACAGAGTGTAGGGACTGACATTCCAAAGGGCGTTTCGGGCGGGAATCTAGATCTGAACCAGAAGCGCCCCCCATGCGTGTGCGTGTTGCGCAGCACACGTTCTAAGACGTTCTCGCTGCAAGGCTATGATGGCTTCCGGCAATAGCCACATGTTGAAGAGTAGCCCTCCCCCCGTCTCTGTATCTGTGCGCCCCCGACATTGGTCCTCCTCCTCGTCCTCGTCCTCTGCGCCGAGGCCCCGGCCCCGTCCCCGCCGGCGCGGCGGGGCGGCCGCTGTACCTCCTGAGCGAGGGCGGCGGCTGGGGCTACGTGCTGAACGCCGGGGCCCCAGCTCCCAGGGGAGGGCAGAGGGGGAGGAGGGAGGAGGAGGAGGAGGGAGGAGGAGGAGGAGGAGGAGGAGGAAGAGGAGGAGGAGGAAGAGGAGGAGGAGGGGGAGGAAGAGGAGGAGGAGGAGGAGGAGGAGGGCGAGGAGCAGGAGGAGGAGGAGGAGGAGGAGGAGGAAGAGGGAGGAGGGGAAGAGGAGGGAGGGAGGAGGAGGGGATGGGGAGGGGGGAAGAGGGAGGCCAGACAGAGTGTGGGCCACCGCACTTTGGCCCAAGTCCCAAAAAGGCTTCCGTAGGCTATGAGCCCCTCGCCCCCTTCTCTTTCCGGTCCCCTCCTTGGTCTTCCCCCGCGCGCGCGCGCGATCGATGCTAGAGATATCCCGTCCCCTGATGTAGATCGCACGATGGCAAGTTCCGACCCCTTCGTTCCGATCCCTGGGGGACATCCAAAACTCGATGAGGATGACGACGATGATGTTCATGATGATGAGGAGGAGGAGGAGGATCAGGACGATGATGATGATGATGATGATGGTGATGATGGTGATGATGCTGATGCTGATGATAATATGATGGTGATGAAAATGGTGATGGTGATGGTGATAGTGATGGTGGTGTTGGCGATGGTGATGGTGATGGTGATGACGAGATGATGATGACGATGACGATGACGCTGACGATATGATGATGATGCTGATGATGGTGATGATGATAGTAGGGGTGATGATGATGGTGGTGGTGGTGATGGTGGTGATGATGATGATGATGATGGTGATGGTGGTGGTGATGGTGAGCGTGATGGTGGTGGTGGTGATGGTGATGATGATGGTGGTGGTGATGATGGTGGTGATGCTGATGATGATGATGGTGGTGATGATGCTGGTGGTGGTGATGGTGATGGTGATGATGATGATGCTGTTGATGATTGCGGTGATAATGATGAGCATGCTGGTTGTGGTGATGATGATGGTGATGATGACAGTGGAAATGCTGATGAGGTTGATGGTGATGCTGATAATGATGATGCTGATGAAAGGTAATGGTACTAATGAAGCTGATGGATGATGATAACGACGACGACAACGATGACGATGACGATGATGATGATGATGATGATGATGATGATGATGATGATGATGATGATGATGATGATGATGATGATGATGATGATGATGATGATGATGATGATGATCTTTTAGCACGATGGCACAAGTGCACAATTCTTGGCGAACGTGTCCGTTCAATCGATCATGCTGGAAACTCGGAATCCTGGTGATCCAGAGTCTGCCAGTGGTGTTGCTGCGTCACGGCCGGCTGGAGGACCTGGACACATAGTTGCCAAAACCCTTGTGGTAGTCTCACGCGTCTCTGAACCATCGTGGTCTGGCAGCTGTGGTGCTGCGTCACGGCGGGCTGAACGACCGGGGGTTCCTCTGCTTCACCAGTGCGGCCACCGTATGCTGCACAGGCTCCAGGCACCACGCACGACGTGGGCAGCTTCCTTATGTGCAGGCGTGGCGAGTCCCTCGCCGAGGTGCCGAAAGAGCTGTCTGCCATGAAGTCGGGCGACGGTGGCAGTTCGAAAGAATCCTTGCCGGCCCTGGCGAAGGGGCCCAGTACCCTTCCGACAGTAAAATCTTGGCGCTCGTGGGTCATTCGCCAAAGCCAACACAGCGCTAGCTTCGAGCTCTGCGCGCTTGCAGACGAGGATGCGTGCTTGTATGTTGACGACGACCACACAGACGGCGTCGCCATGCTTGCAGTTCTCGCCCGCGCTGTTCTGGCATCCAGTGCCACGCACGTTCTGGCCCTGAACGACAAGTTCACGGACCCTGAGCCTCTTATCGACAAGAGCAAATGGCAACGCGCTTTGAAAGGGCGGCGGTAGGATTACGACAAGCTGCGCGCATGAGGCTCCACCCGCTTTCGGCAGGCACAGCTGCGCTTGCTGAAGCGCTTGATCGGCAAGATCAAGCCACTGCAGATCGGCCTCGAGATGGTGCCCTTCACCAGTCCGAACGACCCCGACGCCGTCTCTGCGATGGCCGAGCAGAAAGAAGGCCGGCGAATGAGCTGCTAATGATACCATTGAGCCCGTTGCTCCACCAACAAGCATCTTCGCAGGTGCTGCGCAAACTGTCAACGGCCGCGGTCGGGGCAAACTGGACAACACCAAAGGCAAGGGCAGAGACACGTGGATTCCGTGATCATTCCACTTGAGTGGTTTCTGCTAGTACGGCACGGGTGGCCGCTTCGCGAACAGCGACTTCGCGGGACCTCCCAGTCCAGGCTGTTCGTCTGGCGCCCGTTGGAAAAAAGTGCTGCCAAAGAGGGCCACCGGGGCAACGAGCGCCCCGACAAAGAGAAAAGGATCAAAAAGCCTGCAGGCGACAATAGAGGACCAGGATCCGGCACCAAGAATCAGGAGGGAAAGAAACACACAGACACAATTAATCGTCGATTCCCAGGAAAATATGGGAAAATATGGGCAGTGGGGGGGAGGACGAAAACCCAGAAAGTATGGGAAAATATTGGGAATCCTTTTATTTGTGTGCATCTATTTGTGTGTCCTGGGGGCCCCCTCAAAGAACAGCAGCTGGTTCGGAGCCAGCGGCCCCTGGCGGCACCGCTCGGGCCCACGCTCTCCGGCTGGGCACATTCCCCCCCCCGCCGCCACCCGGGTGGCGGCGAGCGGAGAAGCAGTTGGGTCGGAGCCGGCCAACTGGTAGGGGGCCACAAGCGAACCCTACCCCTACCTCCCACGATTTCTGAGGGGGGGGGGGTTCATTTCGTTCGGGAGCTCCCGAGCGAAGTGAGCCCCACCCTCCCCCCTAAGAACTCGTGGGGGGTAGGGGTAGGGTTCGCATGTGGCCCCCTAGCTGGGGCCCTGCGGGCCACGAGACGGTAGAGGGAAACAATCAGTGAGCCCCCCCCCTGCCCCCCAGACTCTCAAAGTCGGCACGCAGGGGGGCAGACTGCGGTCGAGGTGCAGCTCCTCAGACCCACCGCCAGCTTTGAACACTGGGGGGACGGGGAGGCGTTCACAGATGAGTGTGGCACGAGTGTTCGCTATGTTTTCCCGAGGCCTGGGGGTTGGACCGAAGCCGGCCAGCCATCACCAGGCAGCTTCCCGGGCGGCGGGTCGGCACCCCACGTGCCCCACCGCCAGCAGCAGCGACTGCTCCACCAGTTATCAGGAGGGAAAAAACACACACAGCCACAATTAATCGTCGATCCCCCAGAAAATATGGGAAAATATGGGAATTGGGCGGGAAGACGAAAACCCAGAGAATATGGGAAAATATGGGGAGCCGTTTTATTTGTGTGTATTTATTTGTGTGTCCCAGGGCCCCTTCAAGTTACTCTGGAGAGCCTCGTGCCACCAGCGCGGCAGTGCATGGACCAGTCGAAGTACTAAGACACACAAGACCTGCCGCAAGAGCTGTCGATCAGGGGCAGATGCTTCGCGTTCCCGCCCCCAGCTTGACCATCGGTGCTGACGCTGCCGCTGCAAACGCAGACTGACGCATTGATTGCTGACACAGGGGCTGAAAGGCAAATTTTGTGCGGACGAGACCTGGTCTTCGCTATCAACCTGCGATTGTTCGATCGGCCACTTATTTGGGAAGCAGAAAACGCCGAAATCGTAGTTGGTGAGTGCGCCGACGCACGCCATCTGCGGCGGCATGTGGTTGGCATCGCGCCTCCTGTTCTAAAATTGTCACGTCTCTTTTGCTTGCCAGGAGGAGGAGGAGGAGGAGGAGGAGGAGGAGGAGGAGGAGGAGGCCGAGGAGGCGGAGGAGGAGGAGGAGGAGGAGGAGGAGGAGGAGGAGGAGGAGGAGGAGGAGGAGGAGGGGAGAGGAGGAGGAGCAGGAGGAGGAGGAGGAGGACCTAGCTTACCAGCGATGGTTGGGATTGCGCGCAACGGCGTCCGAGGGCTTCCCTGATCGACCCTACGGGCTAGAACTGCCAACTGGAGCGGCATAAAAAGAGCTTGAATTTCCGAGGCGCCTCCATCGGATCATCGCCGAGGAGCAGGAGCAATGCATCGAGCAGGAGGGAAGAAGCATCAGAGGAAGAGAGGGAGGAATCGGAGGAAGAGGAGGGGCGGCCACTTCTCGTCACGCTCCTCCGCGGCCCTCTGTTGGCAGCTGTGCTGCGGAGTCGCCGCCAGCTGGACGCAGAGCGGTCGATACTCCCGCCAAGCGTGGTCGTCCTGGCGGCGATGAGTCTCTCAGGAGCAGGAGGAGGACCAGGAGCACGAGGGAGAAGGAGGAGGAAAAGGATGAGCGCAAGCCTTCGTGCACGATGGCGATCGCCAGATGCGCGAGGGCACAGGTGGCCAGGCCTGCGGCGTCGGCGTGCTGAGGCAGGACGGAGGCGCCCCCCCGCTGCGCTCGAGGAACGTATAAGCCTTCGTCGAGCTGCGTGCCGCCCTCTGTTGACAGCTGTGCTGCCGAGTGACGGCCGGCTGGACACGGAGGAGCTGGTGCCCTCCCTGAGCCTGCTCGGTCTGGTCGGCCATGGTGACGGCCGTGCTGCTGTGTCACGGCTGGCCGAACCCTCGCCGCCCCACCCTCTACTCGTACGGCCTCACCCTGTCAACCCCAGCATCGGCACGGGGAGCGCGTACCTGACGCACGCTGAGCACGCTCCGCGAAAGGAGCCCGCCGTCCTGGATACACCCCAGAGCGCCATCGAGCACTCGCAACTCCACAGCCCCCGTAAAGTCGTGATGTGCCTCCCGGATGACGTCGGCTTCAGGACATGCTCGAAGCCATCCTTGCCCTCCTCCTGCAACCGTCAGCTCCGAAAGTTCTTTGGGATGAAACGCTTCTGCACGCGAACACCTTGTCCAACAACATTCCACGGGCTGTGCCCAGACACGCGGACAAACAGTTCCCACAGGTACGGGAGGACCCTGACCACAACTACCAAGACGTCACAAAATGACCCCGTTGTGGCTGCAAGGCCTATTTCCACCAAGCAAAGCCACATCGTCAGAACAGACTCGAAGCAAACGCGAGACTAGGCATCGTCGCTGGCTTGGATCCCCCCCACGTCTGGAGGGCACCGCACTGCCCAATACCTCCCCTTGGGGACCAGTGGTCTGCGGAGAAGCTGGCAGTCGCCACCGCCGTCCGTTTCTTCGAGGGGTCGTTTCCTCTTCGCATTCTTGGTCGCATCGCCGAGCCTCTCGCAGTGCCTGCCGATGCAGCGGAGGTGTCGCCTCCAGCTGCACCGTCGACAGCCCCGCCCGCTCCGCCCGCCGGCCCAGCCGGGTGCGCCCAGCAACAGCCGTGCTGGTGCGTCACGGTTGGCTGAAACTGGTCATCCTGCGGCCGCTCCGGCAGCGGCGACATGGCATGATGGGCCTGCTTTCCACCACGATCACCATAAGTTGGAGGAGGAGGAGGAGGAGGAGGAGGAGAAGGAGGAGGAGGAGGAGGACCCCCTCCCCCTCCAACTTATGGTGGTGGTGGTGGAAAACAGGCCCAACATGGAAGGCCAGCAGGGCCAGATCCGCAGAGGAGCAGCAGGAGTAGTGGCGTGACAAGCACCATGCTCGCAAGAGGGCTCGAGCCAGCTTGGCTGCCCCAGCGGGCCGATGAGGATTCTTGGTCGCTTGATTGCTGGGCCCTGCGGCGGATCTGCGTCTGGGGATCACAACGTGCTCCGCGCATTCTCTACTTAGATCGCGAAGCAGGAGTCCATCGGTGAGCTTCTGTACGTCTTTTGCCAGCAGGACTCCCCCACGTCACGCAACTCATGGATACGGAGTCCTACTTGCAACGGTTGGACCGTCGCGGCGCTCAGGCGGTGGCCAAGGAGTTTGCGCGCACGGTCGAGCATCCCGTGTGGCGTTCGCCAGCCCAGCTTGCCTCCATCCCTGAGTTTGCACGCGTGGTAAAAGGAAAAGTGATGATTTCGGAAAAAGAACTGGGAGATGCCTGAACGTCTTCATGAATGCAAGGCTCGTTTTGTTGCCACGGGCAACGATCTTTTCAACAAGCGCATGTGCTTGATCAAGTCTGCTTGGAACTCCTTGTGGCCACCTGTCGCAAGTCTTGTCGGAGCTCGCTTCGTACAAGCTCGTAGTATTGCAATGGAGAGGGATGCTGAAACCATCGACCTCCTGAGCGCATATATCTGGATCATTATTGGAGGCGCCCTTGATTACTATATCATCATTATGGTGGAGGTTATCGACATCTTCTCCCCTGAACACCGTTCTCAATTCCAACCTCTCCGGACGCCTGTTTGCAAATTTGAGCGTGGGATTTACGGTATCCATCGTTCCTGTTCCGATGTCATTTCTGTTTTCACTAAGTGCATTCTGTGGAACGGATGGCAATCGACGGAAGGGGAGCTTGCTGTTTTTTATTGCTGGCATGACGGATCCGAGGGAGGGTTTTGATGTGAAGCGAGCTTTGACGCTGAAATCTTGGGTTGGCTCGGAGTTGCGCTGGGGTCGGAATCTTTTCTCGGATTCTTACGATCGTTATTATGCTATTCCATGGTGTGCCTTCTCATTGGCCATGGATGTTCTTCAACACAGGCCCTACCGTAGTTCGGAGCAGCGCAGCACCATGGCAACCCATGTGGACGACTGCGAGCTGGACGCTCAGAAGAGGCACCGCGAATGCATCTGGGCTGCCACTCGCATTATGTTCGCCTCGAAGATCCAGAGCTTGTCCAGAGGCTCCTCAGTTGTATCTGCAGCCCTCCGCGGCGCATGACTTCAGAAGGTGGTCGCGTAGACACTCTTGCCCGCATTTCCCGTACTGCCTACTGTCAGCGGGTGGTTCGGGATTGGGAGAGTGCCAAATCGGGTGTGGGGGACGCATGCGGGCGGTCCCACTGGGGGCTTCGGTGGGGCTCCCTATGGGGCCACGAAGCGTTATATTGGGTGGGTGACAGTGCCAAATTGGGCGTGGGGGACGCATGCGGGCGGTTCCACTGGGGGTTTCGGTGGAGCTCCCTATGGGGCCACGAAACGCTGCAGTGGGTGGGTGAAAATGCCACGCGAAACCTACCAAGACCCCGGCCCAGCTGAATTCTCCACCTCGCCCTGAGGGTTGGCCCCCAGGGGAGGCCGACACAGGCCGTCGGAGGATCCTCGGCGAGAGGTCGTGCGCTGCTCGCTGTTCGCGTCCTGGCGTGTCCTTCGCTGCTGGCCGATTAGCCCAGTACGTTGACAGGTGGCGCGATTGGGCTGAATCTGAGTTGTCCCACCTCGTAGGGCACCGGAGTTTGATTTCGGAGTTCGCGCTGATGATGTCGAATGTTGGTGACAGTTGGGACGATCTGGATCTCCATGCGTTGCCTGGTGCGGAGTTCAGTTCGCCTATCATCACAATTGGTTTCGATCTGGAGCTCGTTGGCCCACATGGGTCCGAGTACCCTCTGTCCTGGGGCGCTGATCACCAGCAATGACCACGACGAACTCTGGCGAAAACGAGTCCCTGGCTTGGACAACGACCGCAAATAATACCATACGCCTCTCTGCTATGAACGAGTAGACCCAGCGCGCCCCCGTGAAAACCAAAGGCCACGTGTCTGACCAGGCAGTGGAATTTGCCATCAGAAGCGGTTATAGTTTTGCATTTGCTTGGGAGGTTGTTTGGAATCCGTGCCGAGAGATGGCCACACGGATCGATCCGGATCGGTACCGCTCGCATTGCGTCGTCTTCTGAGCTGGCTTTGGCGCGTGTGCGACGGAGCCTATGGTCCGCAGGCGTGCTGGCGAAAGCCTCCTTGACTGGCAGGCCCAGCAGCTCTGGAGGGCAGAGCGGCTAAAAGAACGCCTGCAGGCTGATGCTGATCAGCGTGCCAAGCGGGACGGTGACAGCTGCGCTGCTGCGTCGCGGCCGGCTGGATCCGCCCGATTCCGTGCTGGCGCGGAGGCCAGCATGCGCGTCTGAGTGGTTTCTAAACACGAGCTCACCAGGAAGAGGGCCATGAACGACCCGCGACCAGAGCCCGCTTTGAGCCTTGTGTCATCGTCGTCCCCTTCTGTGCTATCGAAGGTGCTGAAAGTCACCATCGATACTTCTGATGGTGGTTTTTTCCTTGTGGAGTGTTTGAATTTGGCCAGTGCCCGATTCGAGGTCCAGGTGGACAGTGGTGCCCGTTTCGGGACCTCGGCTGCTCTTCGTCATGAAGTCGGCAGGCCTTTCTTCTTTCGGAGACAGACGTTGATCTTGGACAACCATCGGCCCGACGACCCGGTCAAGGACATCCCTGGTTTGACGCAGGATTTCTTGGTATTGGCAGCGGTCGAACCAGAGCGGTCCCTACCAGTGCAACACAGTCAAAGTTACGCATGCAAGCGGACAAACAGGCCTACCGCACCAAAGGCTGCCAGAGCCCATCCTGGAGTTGCTTCCGGAGCTGCTGGGGCGCCGCCTCCCACTTCTGAGGCAAGCGTCCCATTTGAGCGCGCCCCGCGTTCTGGGCATCCCGCTTCTGGGCATATCCATCCGCATGCCAATTTAGTCATACGTCGAACTGTGCACACCCACTGCGCTGCCACTCCGGCTCGTTCGTGTCACGTCTTGTCTTTCGCAGTTGCGCGGTGCAGTGTCAATGGCGCTCGCTTGCAGCGTGAGGAACGGTGGCTGCCCCTCCAACCTCCGCCTCCTTGCTCTCCCGGCGATCGCCCGCCCTTCGCACCAGTCCTTGCGCTTCCTTCCTTCCAGCTGCCTGGTCGCCGCAGTGCGGCGGGGCGGCGCGCGGGACAGACTGTGGCCACCGCGCTGAGGCCCGAGTCACAAGAGGCGTCCGCAAGGAGGAGGAGTAGCAAGAAGGGAAGCAGGAGGGGAGGAGGACAGGGGGAAGGGCAGGCGGGAGCACGACGAAAAGAAGGAGGTGGGAGGAGGAGGACGATGAGGAGGAGGAGGAGGAGGAGGACGACGATGAGGAGGAGGAGGAGGAGGAGGAGGTTGGATGAGGAGGAGTTTGGAGGAGGAGGAGGAGGAGGAGGAGGAGGAGGAGGAGGGTTGGAGAGGAGGAGGAGGTTGGAGGAGGATGAGGAGGAGGAGGAGGAGGAGGAGAAGGGAGGGAGCGAGGGAAGAGTGATAGCCTCGCCTCGCGCCCTGCGGTGCTGCTCCCCGGAGTCCGCGCGAGGGCGCTCCCACGCCAGGCGCTCGTCGCCCTTGGGCTGGCTCCTCGCAGGAGGCCCTCGCGAAGGGCGCGGAGACGGGGCGCTTCCTGGACGGGCGACCCCGCGCTGGCTCCGAGGGGGCCCTCGCGCGCGCGCGCAGGCCCGCGCCTCGGGCGCCCTTTTGGGGCTGCCGCGCGCCGCGGGGGCGGCGCCGCCAGCGGGTGCCGCCCGTGCGCGCTGCACGCGCGGGGCCGTCCGCCCGCCTGCCTCGGGCGTGCTTCCCCCTCGCGCGCGCTCGTCGCCCCTCGCGCCGCCGCCCGATCGCCACGCCGTGCGGCCCCCGGTCCGTTCTCGCAGCCCCCTTCCGGCTCCTCGCGGTGGTGGCGTCATTCGGCCGCTGGAGGAGGAGGAGGAGGAGGAGGAGGAGGAGGAGGAGGAGGAGGAGGAGCCCGCTGACCTCGGCGGCCCCCCTCCGCGCGGGCGGCGCCGCTGCCCGCGCGCGCGCCGCCGAGGCCGCAGGGGTCCGCGAGCTGATCGGCGCCCTGGACGACGCCAGCGGCCGCTGCCCGAGGCCGTCGCACGAGTACGACGCGGGCGTGGTCGAGGAGTACGGGACGGTGCAGCGTTGCCTGCAGGATGGTGGGGGGAGGAGGGGGAGGAGGAGGAGGAGGAGGAGGAGGAGGAGGAGGAGGAGGAGGAGGAGGAGGAGGAGGAGGAGGAGGAGGAGGAGGAGGAGGAGGAGGAGGAGGAGGCGAGGAACAGGAGGAGGAACAGGAACAGGAACAGGAGGAGGAACAGGAGGAAGAGGAGGAGCAGGACGAGAAGCAGTCAAGCTAGCCAGGGCGAGCGAGTTGTAGGGCCCCGCCCATACCCACCACCCTCCCCTCACAACATAAGAATCGGTGGTGGCAAAACTTTGCAGTGGGATTGGAGCGCGCTCCCTCCGAGCCAAGCAGCAGGCGCTCGCGCTCGCGCGCGGCCCCGCCTCCGACGACCTGGCGAGCGGAAGACTGCGCGGGCAGCAGGGCGGGAGCGGCGCGTGCTCGGTGGGCGTGGCGAAGACGCAGCCTGCGCCGCGCCGACACAGGCTGCGTCACTTTCACTCGCAAGATTGGCGCCAGATTGGCGCCAGATTGCCAGATTGGCGCCAGATTGGCTCTCGCCAGATTAGGTCAGATCGACTCCCTCGCCAGATTGCCAGATTGGACCCGCCAGATTGGCTTCGACTACCCAGACAGCAGTGCCACTTTCACTCACAAGCTGCGCGGCGCCTGGGCGAGGCCGGCATCTGGCCCGCTCTGGCGCGGCCCCCGTTGCCGTTGTCATTATGTTTGTGCGATTCGGCGATTTGACCACGCGCCGCGCCCGCGCGGGAACGCCACTTCCGACCGAAATGCACACGGAGCGAGGGCGAGTGCGACAAGTCGCCCGCTCACGCGGGCCACTCCATGTTGGCGAGTGAACGATATGCGCCGCGCAACGGAGGGAGCGCCACTTTTCGGCGAAATCTGCCCGGGTCCGAGACGAGAGCGGCCTTTTCGTCCGCTCGCGGGTCGATGGTGCTTGCGAAAATTGTGCGCCGCGCCTAGGCGGGGGCTTAACTCTCTAGAAAAGTGAACCCGGCGCGACCCCAATGAGGGGACCGCTTCTTGAGCGGCTGTGCTCAGAATTGTTTGACATTACATGGTTTTGCTTTGCATTGTACTGCATTGCTTGGCATTGATTTGCGTTGTTCGGTGGAGCTTGGCATTGCCTGGCAATCCTTGGCGTTGCTTGCCATTGCTTGCCATTGTTTGTAGTTGGTCGGCGTTGCTTGGCATTGCTGCTCATCGCTTGGCATTGCTTGGCGTTGCTTTGCGCTGCGTGGCATTATTTGGCGTTGCTTTGCATTGCTTGGCGTTGCTTTGCATTGTTTACCGTTGCTCGGCGGTGCTTGGCATAGCTTGGCGTTGCTTTGCACGGTTTGGCACTGCCTGGCGCTGCTGGCATTACTTGGCACTGCTTGGTATTATTTGGCGGTGCTTGGCATTGCTTGGCGCTGCTTGGCGTTGCTCGGCATTACTTGGCGTTGCTTTGCGCTGCTTTGATCTGCTAGGCGTTGCTTGACGTTGCCTGACGTTGCTTTGCACTGCTGGGTAACAAGACCAACAACCAGGGCGGGGAACCCGAGGAACCCGGGGAACCCGAGGAGCCTCCGAGGAACGGGCAACGTAACAATAGGGGGCACCAGGGGCGGGGAACCCGAGGAACCCGGGGAACCCGAGGAACCTCCAAGCAACGGGCAAAGTACCAAGGCACCGGGGGCGGGGAACTCGAGGAACCCAGGGAAGCCGAGGAACCTCTTGGAAACTGGCAAAGTAACATTACGAGACGCCAACCTTTGACCAAGTAAGAACCCTTTAGGCAAGCCGACTTGGAGAATGAACCCGAGGAACCTGGGGAACCCGAGGAACCCGAGGAACCCGAGGAACCCGAGGAACTTGGGGAACTTGAGGAGAACCCGAGAAACCCAGGGAACTTGAGGAACCTCAGGGAAACGGGCAACGGAACGATAGGAGGCACCGGCGGCGGGGAACCCGAGGAATCTCCGAGGAACGGGCAAAGCAACAGCCCGAGGCACCGAGCAGCAGCCCGTGGCCCAAGGTAAGGCCCCCTTTGGGCACGCCTGCTCGGAGGAGGAGGGTCGCCTGGCCGACGCGATAGAGAGAGGCGTTCTGGCCTCTCCCGCGGGGTGCACGCCCCGCCCCCGCTCCTGCCACGCCGTTGCAGCAGGGGCGGCGGACTGTCCCAAGCTGGGAGCGAGAAAAGGTAGGCTTACGTCGGGCACGTCCCTCTGCATGGGGGGAAGATTCAAACACAGGCAAAAAGCAGTCTGGGGATGATTTTTGTTGTGCCATTGTTTTGGGTAGTTTAGGGGACGTTTTGCCTATTTGTGCTTCGTCCACAATCCCCCTGTACACCCCAGGCGATGCTTGAGAAAACTTACGTTTTCGGCCAGAGTCTCGATGATTCTTAATGTTTCAAGGTAAGTGTTAAAAATTGCTGGGTTTGTACTCAGATTCTGAGACCATGAATATCTTAACCCATGGTTTCTTGAGCATTTCGCAGGGTGTAGGGGGACAGGCCCGACTTAAATGCAGGCGCGTGGCCCCGCTTTTGCTGGCAGGCGGGGTGGGAGGTCCCGGGTCCTGCGGCCGTCGGCCGGCGCAGCGGCAGGGCGGGGGCAGACGTACGCCATGTAGGGAACGAGGAGCAGGAGGAGGAGCAGGAGGAGGAGGAGGAAGAGGCAAGGGAACAGGAAAAGTGAGAGAGAAAGGGAAAGGAAAAGGGAAGAGGAAGAGGAAAGGGAAGAGCAGAAGGAGGAGAAAGAGGAGAGGGAGGAGGAGGAGGAGGAGGAGGAGGAGGAGGAGGAGGAGGAGGAGGAGGAGAAGGAGGGGGAGGAGGAGGAGGAGGAAGAGGAGGAGGAGGAGGAGGAGGAAGAGGAGGAGGATGAAGAGGAGGAGGAGGAGAAGAAGAATGAAGAAACTCTCCGCGGCAACCCAGCGACCCCTTGCGGCCAGGCGATTCAACGTTGCCCCCCCGCCGAAGCCCACACCGCCCTGGAAAGAGACGCCCCCCCCTCTTCCCCCAGAGCTCCAACGTCCCAGAGACATCGCAACACCATGAGACTTCACGCGCGGAGCCATGTAGGCCCCATGCTTCTGCGGCAGTCCTCTGGGGAGAGAGAGAGCACCCAGCAGAGCACCGCGATAGCAGCAAGGCAAAGCCAGATGCACCTCATCGTATCTTTAGCCAGGGATAGTGGCCGTCCGGACCCACAACGCAGCCGCCATCCCGGCGAGGGCACGGCTCCTGAAGAATGCGTGGAGAAGTCTCAGGCGAAGCGGTCGCCAGCGATGGCGTTCCAGATCGGCTCCAGGGCCAGACCTTCCAGCCAGATCGATCCGCGAGGGGCCCCACAGGGCCCGGCCTTGGGCAAATGCGCCCTCATCGACAACATGGCGACGCCCAAGTCTAAGGAGGGCGAGGGGCGACGCTCAATCCCCTCGCCCTCCTCCTACTCCTCCTCCTCGCCCCTGGCCCTCCTCGCCCCTCGCCCTCCCCACAGCATCGACAGCAACTGGGCAAAGGCGCCCCCATCGACAACGTGACATCTGACGATGTGACCGTTGTCAACCCCCAGGGGACGTCCTCAATCCTCCTCCTCCTCAATCCTCCTCCTCCTCGTCCTCCTCGTCCTCGTCCTTCTCCTCCTCCTCGTCCTCGTCCTCCTGCCACTGTTGTCAACCCCCAGCGGGCAGCGTCTCCAGGGTCACCCGCGTGGGCGCGAGGGCCGTCGCGCGCTGCGCGCGCGCCACGGCCTGGGCCGGAGCGGCCGCCCTTCTTCCCTGGGAGCGGCGCGGCAGCGCGAAGGCGATGCCGCCCCCGCGGGGCGCGATCCGCGCAATTTGGGCGATGTCCCCCTGCTCCTCCTCCTCCTCCTCCTCCTCCTCCTCCTCCTCCTCCCTCCTCCTTCCTCCTCCTCCTCCTCCTCCTCCTCCTCAATTTTCCTCCCCCTCCTCCTCCTCCTCCTCAATCCTCCTGGTTCTGGTTCTGGTTGAGGCGCACCCAAGTGGGGCGCGTTGGTGCCGAAGCCCCGGGCAAAGGGCAGGCATACGCAGTCCCGAGTAGGGCGCTGGCATTGGGGCAAGTGCCCGGCGCGCGTGCCCGCTCCCAGGGGGGCCGGGTGTCGCTTCATGCGAGACAGTTGTAGGGGCCCCCTGGGAGCCGCGCCTGCCACGACGCCAAATGGCGGAGCGCAAGTGCGCGAGCGCAAGTGCGCGTGTTGCCAACTGGCCGCGTCGAAACGGTGATCCTCGTCGTCCTCCCCGACCCCGCCACAGCTCCACCACCACCAGCCAGGCGAGGGAAAAGGGGAGAGGGAGGAGGGCGGCGGGAGAGGGACGAGCAGGGGAGAGGAGGGAGGAGGAGAGAGGGTGACCGAGCATAACGGTCTGGACGTTCATCCGCCCACGGAGGGCGCAACAAAGTAAAACCAGGTTCTGACGGCCGGATTCGAAGACAGCGTGTGCGTCACGGACGCGGTGCGCAATTTCGGACGTGTTACGGAAACGGTGCGGCGGCTCAGGGGTAGGGGGCGGTGGCAACGCCACTTCCTGCGCCGAAGGCTGTCCGGCGAACGTGGCCGAAACTATGCTGTGCCTGGGGGGGGGCAGGATTAGTTCGCCCAGACCTTCTGGTTGTGCCCGAAGATTCACCTTCCCTGGGGCAACCCCACAGCAGGGCATCACATAACATGCAGGCCCCTCCCGCAGCTTCCTTCCAATCGCCAGGAGGAAGAGAAGGAGGAGGAGGAGGAGGAGGAGGAGGAGGAGGAGGAGGAGGACGAGGAGGAGGGCGAGGAGGAGGACGAGGAGAAGGACGATCACGTAGAAGACTTAGTTGTAGTGCCGGGCGTGCAGCGGGTCGATTGTCGCAAGTGCGCCCCCCTCGCCTTTTGCGGGGGCCAACCTGCAAGCGCCTGCAAGTGCAGGCGCCGCCAAGTGGCGGGAAAGCATCCGAGGCACGCTGAGACGCAAGAGGAAGAGGGACACGACGGTAATACATCGGGGGTCACTTTTTCTCGGCCACTCGGCC